AATTTGAAAGTCTTTATCATGAAGGAATGTTGAATTTTGTCAAATGCTTTTTTTTCCTGCATCTATTGAGATAATGATATGGTTTTTTGCTTGGTTTTGTTGATGTGGTGCATTGCATTTATTGACTTGCATATATTGAACCATCCTTGCATCCCTGGGATGAATCCCACTTGAATATGCTGTATAATTTTTTTGATGTGTCACTTTATTCTGACTGCTAGTACTTTTTGAAAATTTTTGCATCTATTTTTATCAGAGATATTGGCCAATAGTTTTCTTTTTTGTTGTATCTTTATCTGTTTTTGGTATCAAGGTGGTGCTGGCCTTATAGAAGGAGTTTGTGAGAGTGACCTCTGTCTCAGTTTCCTGGAATAGTTTGAAGAGAACTGGTATTAATTCCTCTTTGAATGTTTGGTAGAATTTAGCAGTAAAGCCATCCTGTCCTGGGCTTTCCTTCATTGTGTGACTGCTGGTTACTACTTCAATCTCATTGCTTACTGCTGGTCTGTTCAGGTTTTCTATTTCTTTTTGGTTCAGTCTTGGTAGTATGTATGTGCCCAGAAGTTTACCCATTTCCTCCAGATTTTCAAATTTGAGGATGTATAGTTGTTTGCAATAGTCTCTAATGACTCTTTTATTTTGGTTGTAACAGTTGCAATGTCTACTTTTTCATTTCTGATTTTTGTTATTGGGGTCACCTGTATTCATTTTATTTATTTATTTTATTAACCAAGCTAATAGTTTGTCTATTTTATTTATCTTCTCTGAAAACCAACTTTTCCTTTCATTGATCTTTTGTATCATTTTTTGGGTCTCCATTTTAATTAGTTCTGCTCTGACTTTATTTATTTCTATCTACTACTTTTGGAACTGAATTGTTCTTTCCTTTCTACTTCTTTGAGGTGTAGTGTTAGGTAATTTATTTGAAATCTCTGTTATTTTGATGTAAGCATTCATTTTAATAAACTTCCCACTTAATCTTGCTTTTCTGGTATTCCATAAGTTTTGTTAAGATGTGTCTTTATTTTTATTAGTTTCAAGAAATTTTTTGATTTGCTGTTTAATTACTAATTGGACCCATAGATCATTCAGGAGTCTATTGTTCAGTTCCCATGCACTTGAGTAGTTTCCAGAATTTTGCTTGTTATTGCTTTCCAGTTTTAATCCTTTGTGGTCTGAAAAGATAGTTGAAATGATTTCAATTTCCTGAGACTTGATTTGTGACTTAATATTGTCTATCCAGGAGAATGTTCCATGTGCTGATAAGAAGAATGTGTATTCTGTAGTTGTTGTATGAAATGTTCTATAGATATCTGCCAGGTTCAATTAATCTAAAGTGTAGTTTAAATCCTGGGTTTCTCTATTGATTTGTTGCCGATCTTTCTAGTCCTGAGAGAGGGGTATTCAGGTCCCCTCCTATTATCATATTGGAGTCTATTTCTTTGTTAAGGTCTAATAGTGTTTCCTTGATACATCTGTGTGTTATGGTGTTGGGTGCATACATATTTATGATTGCTATGTCTTCCTGCTGGATACAACCTTCTATCATTATACAGTGTCCTTCTTTGTCTCTTTTTATGTTTTTTGATTTAAAGTCCATTTTACCTGGTATAAGAATAGCTACTCTTGCTCCTTTTGGATTTCCATTTGCATGGTATATCTTTTTCCATCCTTTCACTTTTAGTCTGTGTGCATCTTTACAGGTGAGGTGAGTCTCTTGAAGACAGCATATAGTTGGGTCTAGCTTTTTTAATCCAGTCAGTCTGTCTGTGTCTTTTGAATGATGTGTTTAATCTATTTACATCTAGTATTGTTATTGAGAGGTATTATCATCTCCTGGCATTTTAAAACTTTTGTTTAAATGTCTTTTGTTCTTTTCTACCACTTTTATTATTCATCCTCAGTGTTTGATGTTTTTTTTGAGGTGGTAAAATTTAATTTCCGTTTTCTTTCTCCTTTGCATTTGTGTTTTACCAGTGGGTTTTGTATTTTCTTGTGCGTTTGTGGTAGTGATTATTTTTTGTATTCTAGATGCAGGAATCCATTGAGAATTTATCACAGGGCTGGTTATGTGGTTGTGAAATCTACAGCTTTGGTTTGTCTGGGAAATATACTCTTTCTCCCTCATTTCTGAAGTATAGCCTTGCTGTGAACAGTATTCTTGACTGGCTGTTTTTTTTTTTTTTTTTTTTTAGTACTTTGCATATGTCTTCCCATTTTCTTCTTTCCTGTAGAGTTTTAGTTGAGAAGTCTGCTGTTAGTCTGATAAGGGCTCCCTTATAAGTGACTTGATGCTTTTCTCTTGCTGTTTAAGGATCCTCTCCTTGTCTTTGAGCTTTGCCAATTTGACTATAATGTGTGTCAGGGAGTATCTTTTTGGACTGAATCTGTTTGGGGAACTTTGATCTTCCTGGTTTGAAGTTCTATGTCTCTCCCTATACTTGGGAAGGCTGTTTTTTTTTTTTTTTTTTTCTTTTAGTACTTTGCATATGTCTTCCCATTTTCTTCTTTCCTGTAGAGTTTTAGTTGAGAAGTCTGCTGTTAGTCTGATAAGGGCTCCCTTATAAGTGACTTGATGCTTTTCTCTTGCTGTTTAAGGATCCTCTCCTTGTCTTTGAGCTTTGCCAATTTGACTATAATGTGTGTCAGGGAGTATCTTTTTGGACTGAATCTGTTTGGGGAACTTTGATCTTCCTGGTTTGAAGTTCTATGTCTCTCCCTATACTTGGGAAATGTTCAGTTATTATTTCATTGAAAAGATTTTCAATTTCTTTCTCCTTCCCATCTGGAACCACTATGATTCAGATGTTTGTGCACTTATGCTTGTCTGTTATTTCTCTTAGACTTTCTTCTTTTTTCTTAATTCTTTGTTTTTCTTTTTCTTTTCTTTTCTTTGGTCTACCTGGCTTATTTCACAAAGAACAACTTTGAGATCAGAAATTCTTTCTTCTGCTTGCTCTAATCTGTGGCTAAAGCTCTCAGTTGTGTTATTTATTTCATTGAATGAATCCTTCAGTTCCAGCAGGTCTGCTGCATTCTTTTTTAAGGTATTAATCTCTTTGTAAATTTCCTCCTTTATATCCTGGATATTTTTCCTCATTTCATTGTGTTCTCTGAGCATTCTCCTATCTCATTGAGTTTCAGTAGGATTGTTAGTCAGAATTCCTTTTCAGTCATTTCAAAGGTTTCTTGTTCTGTAGGGTCTGGTAGTTGTGAATTACTGTACTCCTTTTGCCATGTCATTTTTTTCTTATTTTTTCATATTTCTAGTATCTCTACATTAGTTTCTGGTCATCTAGTAGATCAGCTGCTTCTTCTATTACTCTAGAGTGGACTTTGAGAAGAAACACTGCCTCTTCTCTTTGCCAGCTCCTGTGGTGACTCTCTTCATGTCAATGCAGTTGAATATGTGGTGGGCCACCTGCAGTGGTCATGGCTGCTACTGTGGCACCAAGCTGTCCTTTTGCAGCTGGAATCTGAGATGGCTGCTGTTGTGGACCATGTTGGGTCCTCCTTGTCACCACATGGGGATTCTTCTTGCCTCCTGTGCTAGTGAGGGTTAGGCGGGCTGAGGCCAGGGGCAGGGCAATTCCCTGTCCTGGACCTCCCTGTGGTGGCATCAGTGCTCTTCCTGCTTTCTGTACATGTGTGGTTGTGGGTTGAGGCCTGGGCACTTCCCTGTCCTGAGCCTCCCTGTTTTGGCATCAGTGCTCTTCCTGCCTCTTGTGAGGGCAGGAGTACGGTCGGTTGGGGCAAAGCCCAGGGCACTTCTGTGACCTGTGTCTCCCCGTAACAACATAGGTACTCTTCTTGTCTCCTGTTTGGGCAGGGGTGGGGTCAGACTTGTTAAACTACATCAGAACAACACATAATACTTACAGAAATTTATGAATCATGCAAAGAAGTTGCTCTAAATCAGTATCCCAAATATTCATCAAGAAGTTTTAAATCCACAAAATTTTGAATGAGTATAAATTCACATTGACTCTGCCCTTATTGACCAGTAATAATATTATTCCCCTTCTAGTTGTTGCTGGTAATTTCTATATCATTAAATTAACAATACAAAGCTAAATGTTAAAAATATACTAACAAATAAACATAGAAAAATATGAAAATGACAGAAAAGGTAAAATGGGACAATGTCAGTGTTTATAGTGTACTTTTTTTTCTTGTAGCTTGATTTTATTACTGCTTCCTGAAGATGACCCTGTTATCTTTTAATTATTATACTACATATCCATATGAACTTTAAATATATGCATGGCTACATTAAGTACATATTTTAACTTTAAAAATTATTTAAAGCATAAGTAATACTTTCATTTTTAAAAAAATTTCCCGGCTATAATTTGTACTTTCTATATATTGTGGTTCTGATCAGTATCTTTGTGTGCAGACAGAAATAAAGTCTTATTTCAGATGTGACATGTCATATAGTGCTTGTAAGTCTAAATATCAGCTGCCCAAAAAGGAGATATAAAGATGCTGGAAGAAGGTTACCAGAGGACAGATATCCAAAGCCCAGTATTCTCACAGACACACTCATATCTTACTAAGGGATGTATAATGTTATAGTATTTCATGGTAAAGGGTAATAAAATCAATTGCTATGTAGAACGTAGTTTAAGCATTTTCTTCATTTGAATTGGTCTTAAGAAGCAGCATTAAGAAATATGTTGCTTTTGTACAGCATCAAATCACTTTTTTAAAGATATTACAAAATAGATTGTTCTTTTTTGTTAATTTGATACCCCAATCACATTAGGAAGGTTACAATTCTTGAAGGATATCTTAGATTTCCAACTACTTGGACTATTTTTTTTCTCATCAGAATACTTGTCATAGCTAGAAATAATCTAGCCCGAAATGTTTCTCTCAACAGTATCAAGAAGTTATATAATCCAAATATTGAAAGATGGAAAGAAAAAAGTCAACATTTTTTAGTTGAAAAGAGTACTAACATTGTTTAAAGAAAAACAGGAAGGAAACAGACTTACCACAATGGTTTCTTTGGTGTAAATACCAGATTGAAGACCAACGATATTATTTCAGCATGGACATTATAACTTTTTTTGATCAAATATAAAGCCACACAGGATTCCAAGTTAGACTTCATAACTTCAGATTCAAATTGAATTTCATATTCAAATTCACAATTTTTAGGTTTATCTAGTCAAATCAAGATTAAAATATATTTCAATTTAATTAATATGCATAGATTGAATATCATTTATATGTCAACACTAATCATGCACAGGTAATTTAAGGAAAGGGAGAGGGCATATGTTATTTAGCTTTGTATTCATAATGTTTAGTGCATTACCAGCTATGTATTAATACTCAGTATATTTTTGTTAAAAGGTAAATAAGTAAAGGATAGAAAAAATAAACTTAGAAGACTATTTTCACCATACTTAAAATTTAAGTCTATGAAACAAGAAATGTCAAATGAAAATTAATAATCAATATTAATTATAAAATAGAAATAATGTGCTCTATATAATAAATGCATCAAAATATTTGAAATTTATACAGTAAGAAGTTTAAAATTTGAGTTGAATTAAGTTTAAACAATATTGAAAAGGCATCCCAAGCTATTAGAGCAGTATTTTCAATTTCTGGTATATTTTAATAAAATAAAGTGTTCTTCATGTTTTAGTCCTAAACCATTACAGATGATATGGTTAAAAATATTTTCGTAACCAGTAGGTTACCAAAGGAAAGTAACAGCAGAGTTTTGTCCACTGCACTTAAAAAAATTTATTAAATCCAGGACTAGCATGTAGACAAGTGGTACAAACATGAATTAAATTTATACTTCATTTATATGTAAGGAGCTAAAAGCACAAATCATGAAGTACATTACACGTGAATCATGGAAGAGAAAGAATCATGACTTGACCTGGTCCACAGCTGTTCTAATTTCTAAAGTCTGTGTCTAATGTATAAAGATAAAAGTGATCCTCAGATACCATTATTTTAATTCAGAGCTGATGGCAACCTTTCTGTAAGCAATCCTAATAGGAACCAGACCACTTTTTAGAAGTAGTTGATTTTAATTTGTGTTACTAAACTCTGAAAAATAGCTGGGCTATAGCAAGCCCAAGGCCTCACCAGCTCTTATTAATGAAAAATGTAACAGACTGACCTACACCCTCAGAAGATCTCTTTTTTTTCCCCCACACATAAAAATAAACCTCTGGCCTCCTAAATTGCTGGTGTTCATCCATTGACAAAATCAGACATTTTTGTTCCTATCAATAGCCATTCTTTGACATAGCAAAATCAATGTGTCTACGTATAAGATGTCTATTTGTTCTGAGAAAGGAATATAGAAATATCTCATAGGAAGTCATAATACATACAGAGAAAATAACATTTAAGAATTTTAGAGTGTTTTATGGGAAAGAAAATTTCCACTGTATTCAAATAACATTGCAAAAATGTTTTAAGAAGCAAATCATATTTGTAGTTGAGAAATGCATCTGTTCATGCTTAATTATAGAAGCCTTTATAGGAGTAGTGGTGTCAGAATGAAATTAAGGAATAAGAAGCTGATCAACTGGTAAATGCTGCTGACAGGCAGAGTAATCTCAGAGCACAAATTTTATATCCATTGCATCAGGCAAACTGCATAAGGTTGGCAATCTTTTAAAGCACAGTCCTATTAGAGTGGGTAAGACGGAAGCCTTGATGGAGTGAATTGATCAGAGAAAACAAAGTGAATAGTAACAGAGCAAAAGGCCAAGGACTGGAGGTCAATGTGGGATCACAAGAGGACAAAAGATATGTTTCTCAGGAGCTGTTTGCGACCATAAAATAAGCCCGACATGGAAGTTTACATACAATATGCAAACAAGACACAGTGAAATGACTGGCTTAGAGTGAAATGAGACCAGTGTGACCCATAAATCAGCAAATCAGACACACATAAGACAACAGGGTCATCAAAGAACAACAGCCTTGAGCTACAGAACACCTGGGAAATAAAAAGAAGTGGCCTGAGTCTGATATGCAGTTGGATGGTAAAACTACTCCCAGATAAAAAACCCCACAGAGAAAGTCACTAACTAATCCCCAGAAACGCACAAAGAATGCATGGACAATGAGCTTCTTTCATAGAAAAAATACAATTATAGGGAAAATCGTGCCAACAGAGAATGATCTGTAATCTTATAGAAGTGACATTGCAAAACAATCTAAAAATCCAAATATAATAGTATCCTAGTAGGGCAATATTGATTAATTTAAATAGTACAGGTACATAAATATAACATGTTAAATAGATGTTGTTTGAACCCCTTAACAACAGGGTCTGTGTCTTGTTAATTTTGGCAGCTCTGGGGCTAAGCATAATATGCAACAGTGAAGATGTTTGATACATTTTTATCCAATGATAAAGATAAAAAAATGATCAATTCTGGTTAATTCAATGATATGTGTGAGGAGTCAGGGTAGAGAGAGCAGAGAGGTTCTCACATTTCCAATTAATGAGACTTGAGAGTTTTATTGAACTGAGGGAAAGAATATGATGAAAATAAAGAGAGGATAATGAAAAGGAAATGTTGGGGGTTCTCATCACCTACCTGTCAGGTTTACATAGGGAGGTCTATTGACTCCCGAGAAGGGAAAAGCACAGGAGGAAAATAAGCTCAGTTTCAATCTGCCTCCCTCATCATGACTTGCCGTGGGAGGAAAAGAAACACATGTGATCTATTTACTAGAGTGAGGGAAAGAAAGATGAGCAGATGAGCAGACCCTTCTCTTTCTTTTCCAATGTCTTGAATCAGGATTCATACTTTCTTCTCCTCCTTCATGAAGAGGCGGTTTGTCTCTGTAGGGTGTCTACAGCTGGCCAGTTTGGCACTAATGCATTCAATTTAGGTGGAAGGTATTAATAAGCCATATAACTCCATAGTTCAAAGTCCCTTCCCAATTCACCTTTCTAATTAATAAACCTGACATTTTGATTTATATATGCCTCATTTCTACATGTGCTTCTCTGTTGGTTTTAAACTAGGTTGTGGGAAGGCAAGGGTGTGATTAATTATCACTCAGAGTCCAAGCCGCAAAGTATAGTGCTTTAATTTCTACCATAAGGGATTTAAGAGATAAAAAGTACAAAACAGAATGGTAAACCTGACTTTTTTGGACACTATTTAATGTGCAGTATAAAATATAATTAAGTTACACACAGGGGAAAAGACGTTCATTTGCTTTGGCATATACTAAAGTCTAAAATAGTATTCAGACTTTCTGGTCAGACTTGTCCCTTCATAAAGTAATTGGTGGGAAGGAAGGAGCAAGCAGAAAGACTTACAGAGATTGAAGACAAGCTGGTTATACCTTTGGAATAAGGGCAAGAAAAGACACCAAGTTATTGATTGCCACATGCCTTTAAGGAGAAGACAAAGCCAACTCATTTCATCAAATATTCAGGTACCATAGAGACAGAAAAATATTAAAATTGAGAGGGGATTAGATTATTGTACTTCTGTATAGCAGGACATACTATAGAACAAAAAAGAAGATTCACAAATTAAAATGTATCTAGCCAAAAAATAGATGAGCTTGCTGTTTTTAGGGGTATTGAGCAGAGAAAACAGGCATTTTAGAGAGAATGATGGGTGGAGATAAGCCTGAAAACCTTCCATTTAGTTATTTTCAATATTAACCATTCTTTTTCCTCATGAAAAGTAATGAAACATTAAAATAAGAACTATATCGAAATGTGTATTTTTAAGAGCTATTTGAGAGAGATTGTTTTCCTAATATGACTTCAATGTTCCCAATGTGATGATGGCAGCTTTCTTATAGACCCTGAATATCTAGGAGGAAGTGGAATTTTTCAGGTAATAATTTTTAGTCAATTTATATGATCAAAATTACAATTTCTTTAGTTTGCAACCTGACAGGAGTACAACTTAAGCAATTTAAAGTAGAGAAAACATATTAAAATGCTTAGCATTTATAAGCATTTCTTTATCCTTTTATATACTTAATTTAACATGAGATATTACCATCTTAAGAAATTTTTTAAGTGAACAATACAATATTGTTAACTATAGGCATTATGCTGTACAACAGATCTCTAGAACTTATTCATCTTTCACAGCTGCAACTTTATACCCATTGGAGAACAACTCCCTATTTGTCCTTTCCTCCAGACCCTGGCAACAACTATGCCACTCTCTGCTTCTGTGATTTTTACTATTTTAAATTTACCATGTAAGTGGTATAATGCAGTATTTGTCTTTGTATGACTGGCTTATTTCACTTAGCATAATGTCCTCCAGGTTCATTCATTTTGTCACATATTATAGAATTTCCTTCTTTTCTAAGGTTGAATATTGTTGCATTATACACACACACACACACACACATACATACACACACACCATATTTTCTTTATCCATTTATCTGTCAAAGGACATTTACGTTGTTTCCATATCTTGGCCACTGTGAATAATGTTGCAACGAACGTAGTACAGATACCTCTTCGAGATTCTAATTTCAATTATTTTGGATAAATACCCAGAAGTGGTATTGCTGAATCATATGGTAGCTTTGTTTTGATTTTTATGAGAAGCTTTCATACTGCTTTCCACAACAGCTAAACCATTTAGCATTCCAACATCAATTTTGCATTGCATACCAACAGTGTACAAGGATTCATATTTTCCCACATCCTTGCCAATACTTACTTTTTGTTTGTTTTCTGGATAATAGCCATGCTGACAGGTGTGAGGTGATATCTCATTGTGGTTTTGATTTATATTTACCCCTTATGATTAGTGATGTTGACCATTTTTTCATACAGCTATTGGTCATTTACATGTCTTTTTAGGAGAAAGTCTATTCAATTTTTTAGCCTATTTTTTAATCAGGTTACTAATTTACTTTTATTATTGAGCTGTAAAATTCCTTATTTTTTAATATTAACCCCATATTAAATATACAATCTGCAAATATTTTCTCCCATTCCATAGGTTGCCTTTTCACCTTGTCATTGAGTATTTCCTTCTATGTAAAGAAGCTTTTGAGTTTGTTTATTTTTGTTTTTGCTGTCCGTACTTTTGGTATTATATCCATGAAATCACTACCAAGGCAAAAGTCACGAGAAGACCTTGTGCCAGGAGCAGGATCTTTAGCAAGAGGGAGTCTTAAATCTCACTACAGGCTCTGGTGAGTTTGGTTTCACATTCTCCCGAGGTGCAAGAGCCTTTCAATTAGTTTCTGTTGTCTCACAAATGAAATTTGTCTATGAATGTTGCTGAATGGGTGTCTTTGTGGGTGGAAGGAAGGTCCAGGGTCCCTACTCTGCCATGTTGCTGACGTCACTTGGTGCCATATTATTTATTTCAAGTGATACACCACATATTTGGAGAATTAGGTAACATTTTAAATTATTTTGATTATTAAAAATGAGATAGCAAATTTTTATATAGAAAGCTGAATTATACAGTAAATGAATGTAATAAACTTTATTATACAAAGTTTATTTGGGTATTATATCTAATTTGTGCCAATTTATCTATTTCTTTAAATAAGAAACAATTTATTAAAGGTTTTGTTTCTAAATTTAAAACTGCAAGTTATGACTTCAATCATATTCCTTAAATCAGAAGACAGAGTAAAGGAAGAAATTAAAACTAAAGGGTTGTGGAAATTATAGTTACTACAGTTTTCTCTCCTCTCCATTTCGACAGAATTATAACATATGTCTTACAAATCCAGGAATAACAATAACTGCTGCCATTTTTGAGCTAACTACTATGTGAAGACAACAAACATAACAGTGGACTCCTTAAGCACTACTTGAATTTACATTGTAGATGAAAGTTAAATGGGCATAGATCTTCATGAGAAATCAGCAACCTGCAATTCAAGGAAACTGAGCGTGTATTTATTATCATTTTTTATAATCCATAAATGTGGTTCTCTTACCATGTAAATCTTCATAAGAAATATCTGAACTTCTTTTTGGAATCACTAAAAAATCTGTCTCTTCTGGAGTTGGATTTTCTCCAAAAAAATCACCAGTCAGCATGACTTCCACCTTCTCTTCTACTCGCTTCTTGGACTGACATGTAATGACAACTACAAGAGAGAAATATTTCTAGTTAATTTGACTATTAGGTTATATGATCATGCTTGAGATAGGAGAAAATGAACTACATCATGAAAAAGAAAATTTCCTTTAGTATGCTTTCACTTGCTATTGCAACTGGCCTTAACAGACACCCACATTCACATTATACACATATTCATGCAATAACTATATTCTTTGACATTATGGGAGCAAATAGGAATATTAAAGAATGTGTAAAAATAGTATGGCAAAAGATAAATCTGTGTGACATATACTAGACTATAAAAGATTATATTAGGATGCAGAAATTTGATTCTGAAACTGATATAGTTATGTAAATAACTCAAGTGGCAATTGTGGACATGTGATTTTCTCCTCTTTTAAAATCTGTACGTTCGGGGCTGGCCTGGTGGCGCACTGGAGAGTGTGCCGCTTGGGAGTGTGGCGGCGCTCCCGCCGAGGGTTCGGATCCCATGTGGAGACCGGTTCCCGCTCACTGGCTGAGCGCGGTGCGGGCGCAACACCAAGGGTTGCGATCCCGTTGCCGGTCCCCGGTATGGGTGCGACACCGAGGTTTGCGATCCCGTTACCGGTCAGTAAAAAAGACAAAAAGGAAAAAAAACAATCTGTACGTTCATTGTGGTGATAACAAGCTCTACTTTTATACTAATACAGTAATAAATACCTTCAAACAATTTTAAAAAAATAAGTTCTGTAGCACTTATTTTGTAATAATATTTTTAAATATTTTCTATTATAATCAAAATGTATTTACATGCAACTTAAAATTCACACTTAAATAATTTAATAAAATATTTTAATTTTTCATTTTTGAATTACATTTAAATTTACAAAATGCACATTTTTAAACAATTAACAATAAAATAGTAATGAATTCTTTAAAGTTAAGGTTAAATGTAATTGTATATTAGTTTATGGACAGAATTAAACATTTATGTATTTATATATCTATCAAATTTCAATATTTTCCTATGTAAAGTGCAGGAGAAGTTGTCAGTGATCTTGTGAGAAATCAAACTATTGTTTCTACGTACAATTCCTGATTATATAAAGAAATATTAATGTATTCCTCTGGCCTCAGGTCTATAATACTAGTGGGCCTTGTGTACTGGAATCCACACAAATAAGAATATTATTTCTCCTTAATATATTAAATATTATACTTTTATCAAGTCAAACACACATTAAAGACAAAAAAAGAGAATCATAATATACAAATAGTTTTTGGAATGTATTATGCTATGCTTTTGGGACATCAATAATAACATATTCACATACACTACAAAATTAGATAATTACTCAGATTTATCTGTTTTTGTGATACATATGACATTTATAGTATAAAAATATTATAAATTTAATTTTTAATTCTAAATTTAAAAACATATTTTGAACATTCTGGTTAAAATGGCTAGGATAAAAGGTACAAGCTTTTCTGGTAATAATTAACTCTAGTCTTACAGCATTAAATTGGAAATCAGTGTGATCAAAGTTACAATTAGCATTATGCCAGTGCTCTTGTCCTATAAGTCCTTAGGAAATTAGTGTCTTGGCAATGCAAGGATCATTCAGTCACAATGGGTTCACTTTTCATTGTATTTACACTGTGACAGATAGTGTATTCCTCTTCCAATTATCTGCCCCAATGGGCAGTGGTAGGTAAAAATGCAAAGTGAAAACATGGCTCACAGAACAACAAAAGTATCCTGGGTTTGAGAATAACCTGAGTGATAAATACATACAAAAGAAAAAAGTCATAAACTTCCACAATGATACAGTTTAGCAGGGAAAGCAATAGGTTATATCTGATGAGTTATTAAATAAAGAATAGAGAATGGACTGTACAGAAAATAAATAATATGTACTCATAAAAATATACCCTCTTGTCTCTCAAGGGCATTTGTAGGTAAAAATAATTACCAGCATATATTTTAGACTTTTGGTAAAATGAGTTAATAACTAACACACAATCTATTTTAAAACACTGGTTTTATTACTAGGCTGTGTTAATCTAACATAGGCTATTTGCGGAACTCACTTCTGTGAGATCAATAGATATGCCAGTTCCCCTGGGATCCGCAAAGGGGCTAGAGGCTCTTGAATCATATGATCCAAAGGTAATCTTGGACACGAACCTGAAGAGATGTGGAATTGGAACTGCTGCTATCTTGCCATGCTGAAAGAGAGCTCAGCTAGGAATTGCAGTAAAACAGAGCAAAAGAAGTCACAAGAGAGAGAGAAACCAGGTGCTGACTGTTTGAGCCTGGATCATGCAGAGTCTGAAGTCAGCTCCACTCCTGAACTTTTCACTATATGTGTTTCTCTAGCCCAAACTCAGGGCCATTTTGCTTAAATTTGTTTAAAATATATTGTATATCACATGTAATAATAATAAAAAAAAGTCCTAACTAACACAATCCATTACATTACCAAGCGCATTCCCAGCAGCACCCAGAATTAACACAGGAGGGCACTATAAATGCCTATGAATTACAATGACACTTTGAAGAATTTGAAGCTAGGAATAGGAGTCCTGTGGTACCTTAAATGTACGGAGGGAAATAAACATAAGAAAAACCAAAATAAGCAGGAAAAAAAACAATATTAACAACCATTGATTATCAATATGTCTCCCACATTGTGCCACATATTGTTTCAGTCCTATGTCTTATGACAATTTATTAATCTATGTAACAAACAGAAAAAAAAAAATCAAGTAATTACCAAGAAAAATGGCTTAAAGGAAAATGCCCTGGAGCATGTTGAACTTTCTTTGAAGAAAAACGTGTAAGAAATTTTTGTTTTTATGTTCTTATGGGCTTTGTTTTAGACTGAAAAATTCTGCTTTAAATCTTTAATCTGAGAAAAACAAAACTATCTGCAATAAACGGGAGCATCCTTACTATTAGAATTCCAACAGAGCAATGTCTAGGCTTTATTATATCACTTTGATCAGCTGTCTCTGTATTATAAATTTTAAACAGTTCAGCTCTATGGAAAATATAGAGTCAACTATTTTCCAGAAAAAGTAAGAGAAACATTTTAACATGTTTGTGAAGCATTCTGAGGATAATTTAGTACATTTGAAATATCTATGTACTTGTTGATAATTTTTTAACCCAAAAGTAAAAATATTTTAAGTAAAACAAATGACATTTATTGTCAAAGGTACTTCTATATGTGAATTTTTACTCCAATGAAAATTAAACTACATAAGGAAATACGTAGTCTTGGCCTTCCTTTATAACATGTGTATCTAGGGAAATGCTTTGTTTACAAGCATAACTGTAATTTCTCTTCCTTCTAAGTGTGGTGACATTATGTCAGTGGAAGTCTAACTGCTTTTCACTTGCAAAGATTGGTATCAAGGAGAGAAAGAAAGAGCAAAATTTTGAGATTTCTTTTAACTTATCCGTGTTGCTCAAATGTGAGATCCGAACTAGATAGATACCCCTTAGCTCTGCAAAGCAATTCACCACCTCTTAGTTATATAGAAGTACACATAGAGCCTGGTAAGCAGTTGTCGGGAAACAAAATTTTGCTATATGCTATCTAAGAGGAATTTCACTTCTTAGGCTGAACTTGGGAAGAAAATGAGAAAATCAAGGAATGCAAAAGAAGTGAGAAGAGTGTTGAGGGAAAAAAAAACCCACAGAAATTCCGGAGAATACTGGTGTATGTGGGAAAAAATGAGAGGTTACTGAGAAAAAGAAAGGCATTTAAGGGTAGGGACATTACGTTGTGTACATCTTGGCAAAGTAAACTTCCCTGAAAACTTCAGAACATTCTGACTGGTTTTGGCGAATATCATAAAGGTTTTGTGTTTGGAACAACTAAGAGTAGAGGGATCAGCATCCCCACAGCATAGTTCTCGGATGGGACTGAGAGTTACACAGAAGCTGAAGTATGATATTAATAGAGACCCAGAACAAAAGTACCAGGGACTCTTAGTGATCTAGTTCAGGATGGCAACAGGAAACAGGGTTTTGTGCAAAAATTATTGGACTTGTTAGGAGACCAGGTTTATGTCCCAGCACTCTTACCAATAGGGTTGGTGACTTCACTACTGACTTTCTCTGGACGTCGAATAAAAAAGAAATGGGATTAGAGCACGTCTAAGTCTAAGGTCCTTTCAAATTCTGATGTTCTCTGACTCTAAAATATACCTACCTTCAGGAGATTTAGGATGTGGCGCCTGTGGGAGCCCAAGAATAGGGTATATCCAGGGTATTTTTTGAATTTCTCCTCTCTCTATTCCCATAGTTCTAATTAGAAATGAGAAATACTAAGAGTGAACAAAAGAGAGGCACACTTTCAATATTAGCATAAAATAGCTTATTCTTTATTAACCTAATGGTACTTTAGTAAAGGTTGTGAATTTAAACTTTGGCAAAGAGAAACTGATGAAATAGAGAACACTTTCTGCAGATGTTGATTTTATAAGTATTTCCAAGCAAATCCTGGAAAATTATCACACATACAAAAATGCTGTAATAAAACCACCGTAAGATGTAAGTTAAAACTGAAGAGCTTTTCCCTCTACTTTTAAAGTTAGGCATTGGTATTTATTGACATGACTGAACTGTGATTAATGAGAGGTAATACAGTCCTCATGGATTAAAATGAACAGGCAAAGCACAAAACAAAAAACGACATGAAGTACAGGACTTTAGAAAGTGATGAAGAAATTACTTTTTGGGTATACCAGTTAAAAGAAAGAGGGCATTTGTACAAATATTCTAGGTTTATCATACACTATTAGGAGAACATCAGTACTAGAAAATGTTTCTGATCATTGTGGAAGATGGAATTTTCTTGTTAAAATGAAATGCAAAACACTGCAGGCAATACCAGTTGTGCAGGCGACTTGGACAATCAGATAAGACCCCACACTTAGAAGGGATCCATGCTTATTTAATGCACTATTGTAACTGTCTTGAAATTCTTGATAATTTTAAACAAGGATCACATCATTCACATTTCTCAATGGGACCCACAAATTATGTAGCCAGTTTTGTCTGTAAGAGTTGTGAAATAGCACAGCTGGATTAGAATAGGCCCACAGTAGAGAAGTCTTTTAAATTTGGGGAAGAAATATGAACATGTAAGACAATGTAAAAATTTCTTTTTAATTGAGATTTGTAGACCATCATTTAATTCAAGTATATGAGTAGAGAAATGTTTAAATTTTAAACCATTACTGGAGTTTGCTTAAATTTCACCTAAACAAAGAGGGTACAAATAAACCTTCATTCTGGAAAGGACATAGTATCCACTAGTCATGGCACTGTTTCATCAGGATGTCATATCCACCTGGCACAGTGCCATCACTTGATGGATGCCAGTATCACAAGTTCTGTAGTTTGCCCAGACAAGCTATTTTAGGTTGTCCTTTGGATACTGATTATTTATTGTCTTAGTAGTCACCATTTGCCCAGTCAAAAAGGAATCCCATAAAACAAATACATTTTCCTACTCTAAACATATGTATTTCAGTAGTTTAGAGGATATAAAATCATGAGCTTTACATTGTATAACATGTAAAAGAAACCTATCCCATCAGTGCAGGTCAAAAAGAAATCATTTTCCTTTAGTGTCTTCATTAAATGTTACCTTTTAGTCTCTGTATCCAATTCATCAAAATTGTCAATAGGCCAATTTTCTCTATTTACTTTCATCATCTGAACAATGGCCAGTGTTTTGTGTAACTTCATAATTTGGGGCAAAAATAATACTGGGATATCTATAATTCCTTCAGGAGGCAGTACAATTCCTGTAAAACACAAAAATAATTTTTAATGCAGTAAATATTTACAGAATACAATTTTAATAGCAGAAAGTAATCACTTAATGTCTTACTGATTATCAATTTTTCAGAATTGCTTATGAACAAAAAATTACATTATGCTAAACTGTAAGTGCATTTGCTATTTCCCCTCAAATATCATCAACCCTATAAAAATAAACACATTTTATCCTGAGGTAAGAAGTTTCCCCTAAATAGGCCGGAAGAACTGAGAAAATGTTAAAAGTGTTGGCTGGGGTCTCCCAGAGTGAAAAGAATCGTAAATCATGAGGTTTTTCAAGTCTTACTACATTTTACAGAGAAGAAAGTACAACGGTTTTTGATCTTTTAATTTCTTATGTATTTTTTTCTAGATCATAAAAGTTCAGGTCTCTGCTTGGAGTCTTAAAATTACTGCCAATAAAAGCTATTCCTTTACTTAATCGATCCGTGAGGAAAACCAAATTTATTTGTGAAAGAAAGGGGCATCTGCTGCCAGTTTTGAAAACCCGAAGACAAAACTGACAGCATTTGCTTATGTTCTGACGGATTAGAATTTTTCAACCTTTACTGTGCATAAGAACCACCCAAAAAACTTGTAAGACATGGAACCTGCTGAGCCCCAACCCTAGAGATTCTGATTTATTCAGTCTGAGCTGGGGACCAGGAATGTGCATACTCAAGCAGCACCTTCTGGAAAGCAGATGCAGGTGGCTATGAGACAATACTTTGAAGAGAAAACTCTACCTGTTGGACAAGTATTGAGAGGTTGGGAGAGTGATGAGCTTCAGGCCATTTGTAATAGTGAGGGTTTCCAAGTGACGAATGTCTGACTTTACTTTAAAGAGTAGCATTACTTCTTGATAATAAGGGAATTTTGACTTTTTTTTTTCTTTTTATTCTTTGTTATAAGACAAAGCCATTTTGTCTCAGATGAGAATACTGTACTGGACTATTAAAAACATCAACAATGGAAATAGAAAATGGCCCCTCTGCAAAACATCCCAACTCAGAATTCTTATAAATTTTTAAATTTTAAATTTTATTCCTTGAGGAAATGAAAACAATTCTAAGGCCCAGTACCAGAATTAATAATAGGTAATAATATGATTAATAGTTAATATTTATTGACTACTGACTATATGTCAGGCTTTGTGCTAAGTATTTTTTATGCAATATCTTAGGTAATTCTTAGAAAACTACCGTAAATTAAGTGCTACTATGCTTCTCATTTCAGAGATGGGGAAATTGAGGCAATTTGGTTAAATAACTTGCCAAAAGTCCCATTGAAAGATTATGTCGTTTACTAAGATATCTAAAGGTTGTCTGTTATCTACAATTTTGACTTTGTGAGCTCTGTAAGTTTAATGAACCATTGTTGTGTGAAATAGATAGATGCTAATAGATAATGCTAATTAAAATGAATACGCTTCCTAAAAAAATACAATCTTATACAGTATGAAGGTCATTAAGTCTGGCATACACAGAGATTTTGGTAAGAACTTATAAGATGTCTGAACTCTGGACCTCCTCTATTTTTATTGTGGTTCTCAATCATTCTTAGCTCAATAAAACAGGTTTTCTATTGTTAATTTAAATCTACGTCCCATCAAAGGTAATGAAAGAATAAGCTAGATGAGTCCATATTTCAAATGTCATAAATGCAAATCCTAATCCTACAGCTTATGGAAATTTCACTCTTCTTTTTAATTAGAGTGAAATTACAGATTAATTCATTTTTAAATGTGTTTGAATAAAAACAGCAAGTGTTGAGTCAAATAAACCATGCATGCATGCATTCCCAAGGAAATCAAGTTTAGAAATTATTTACTCTTAAAGAGATTATATTATATCTAAGAATGAATTATATTACCACTAAAAATAAAGCTAGACCTTTAGATGGTATGAGTCAAGACAGATAAAAAAGGGTAAGTCATTGGTTATACCATGCTCTTTTAGAATGTTTGCATTGAAAGTATGGAAAGATAATGCCATGACAAATAAGATCATTTAATTAAAATCTAATATCCTATTTGTGGTTGTAGCTTGTTACTAAGCCTACAAGTAAGAATGTAATTCACTGACTTCCCCACTAAATTCACCATACGTTTCTTTAGCTATTATTTTACTCTTGAATACTAAGAATCATTGTGATGCTGTTAAAGTTCAGGAAATCACAGAAAGTTAACGTTGAAAAGAAATATGAGAATTTACCAAGATCATTTTATGTCTCATAGACTAGTTTAATTTATTTTCTGTGGTTTTCTCATTGATCATTTGCAACGTTTTGAGTATAGACAGGGAAGTTGTCAATACTTCTATCTTATGAAGAATCTACCCATGTTTTCTTTTAATACCTGTATGCTTTTATTTTTATAGTTAAATATTTGATCTATTTGTAACTTACCCTCATGTATGGAATGAAGAATGTATTGATGTTATTGATTTTTATATGGAACTAGTTATTCAAAAACCACTTATTTAAAATCCACTGGTTGAAAATGAGGCCTTCATGGAATTTTCATATTTATTTTGATCTCTTTCTGGATTTTCTAGATGTTTCCTTTGGTCTTTCTCTTCATGTGTATGTACCATATTATTTCAATGCTTTATTTTCTAGTAGGACTAACTGTCTCTCTCTCCAGCTAATTTTAAAAAGAATGTTTTACATTTGCAATAAACAGGTAGCAGACTGGGGTGATGGGACAAATAGTATTTTTAATGGTATCACCCTACATTTATACATTAATTTAAGGATATTTGACATTTTTGTCCATTCAATATCTATCCAAGAGCAAGAGTATGGACTTTATTTTATTTTGCTCATTTGAGCACCAACTTCATTATATTAGGGGTTTCTGGGTACTGGGACTAGGTTTTCAGCAAGTCTTACTTTTCAGTGTTGCTAGAGGCTTATTTCAGCATCTTCATATGTGTTTAGCAGGAAGCTGGGAGTAACCATATCAGTTGTTTCTATCTTCTGACTGGGAATCTAACTAGTATGATGATAATTCTATTTATTATACTAAACAATCTAGTAAAATATATTCAAAACTCAAAATGTTTGAGCTTTTCTCTTTGTGTTTCATCTATTCCCATGCAGCAACTATACAAGTAAACTCACTACAGATAGATTTACTTTTTTCTATTATAGTCATCATTCCTGAGGTTTAAAATGCCACTAAGGAGCCGGCCCGGTGGCGCACTCGGTAGAGTGCAGTGCTTGGGAGCGCAGCGGTACTCCTGCCGAGGGTTTGGATCCCATATAGAGACTGGTCTGCTCACTGGTTGAGCGCGGTGCAGGCGCAACACCGAGGGTTGCGATCCTGTTACCGGTCACGAAAAAAGACAAAAAGGAAAAAAAAAATGCCACTAAGGATCTGGAAGAAACATGCATATTTTGCTTTACATAATATATCTTACAAAATTTATGTATTTTATGAAAGAGGCATGCATAATTTATGGAATTTTAGAAACCCTGATAATACATCATGTTTAGTATCTGAGAAATGTTAAAAAGAATGACACTTATTGCATTATTATTATATCTTTTTGTTTTTGAAATATGCTATAGCCTAATTGCACCTAGCATTCAAATTTTATTCAGTGTATATTTAAAACTGCTATTTTGATTGCTTTTTTGGTTAAAGGTGGTAGAAATTTTTACCACTATCTCCTACTTAAAATATAGAAATCGTACAATGTTTTAATGGATATAAGATTTCCTGTCTCCCATGAAGAAAATCTTCTCAAGACAGTAAAGTGAACGTAATCGTTACTTTAATAATGAATGTATTTCATTCTGGGAAATTTATTTTTAAGAACTTTAGTGGTATTACATTTCTGCACCACAGTGCACAATTTCTAATTTTTAGTAGAAAAGGCCTATGTCATGTAATCAAAGAGACACTAAGAAATAGCACCATAAGTTATGCTATTATTATTTGTTACAGTGTTTTATTTTAAATGCCTTGTGACTTATGAAGAAAGAGAGGCAACAATGGCAACAGCTTTCCCCAGGCAGTGATTACTGTAGCTAAGTTAAGTCTGAAACAATGGAGAGTGAAGTCACGCACTGCTTGACTCATTTTGGTGTAACACTCAAATGGTTTTATTGTACAGAATGGGCCTTTTTGATGCTTGTCCAATAAAGTTTTGATTAAAGTAGAATAAAATACAGAAATAAACCAAAAAAAATGAGAATACAAGTTTTTATTCTTAACATGTAAAGTTATGAAGAACATGACTTTTCATTAACATTTTCATACATGAAATCTATGTACTTTCCATTTGAATGCTTTATATTTTCAGTAACTGATTTTTTTGAAAAAAGTCTTTAAATTAAGGCAAAAAATGAAACAGACTTGTCAATATGGTGGTTTGAGGAAGGATTCAGATTCTTTCACTGGTTTTTCTAAGATATTATGGGTTAATTTATAACCCCCCCCCCCGCAAATTTATATGTTGAAGCCCTCAAAATATGATTGTATTTGAAGACAGGGTCTTTAAAAAGGTGATTAAGTTAAAATGAGGTTATTAGAGTGGGCTCTAGTCCAGTATGACTGGAATCCTTTATAAGAAGAGGAAATCTGGACACACAGAGAGACGTCAGGGGCACGTGCACAGAAAAAAGACCGTATGAAGAAACAGCGAGAAGGTGGCCATCTACAATCCAAGGAGTTAGGCTTCAGAAAAAAACGAACTTGCTGACACCTTGACCTTGAACTTCTAGCCTCCAGAACTGTCAGAAAATATATTTATCTAGCTTAAATCACCCAGTCTGTAGTATTTTGCTATGACAGCCCAAGCAAACTAATACACGATATTATGTTTTCTTTTATATGTTATCCCAAGGCAGTGGCTTGACATGCTATTCAGTTTGCTTATAGAAATTCTAACTTCAGGCTCTCAAAACAAAGGACACATAGTGAAACTTGACTCTGACTTCTATCTGGCTACTATGATGATGAACAAGCTAAGGATGAAGC